CACCTGTGATCCCAGCTACTAGGGAGGCTGAGGCAAGAGGATCATGAGTTTGAGGCCAGCCTGGGCAACTTTACAAGTCTTTGTCTCAAAAAAAAGAAAAAAAAAAAAGTGGGGCTGGGGATGTGGCTCAAGCGGTAGCGTGCTCGCCTGGCATGTGTGCGGCCCAGGTTCGATCCTCAGCACCACATACCAACAAAGATGATGTGTCTGTCGATAACTAAAAAAATAAATAAATAAATATTAAAAAAATAAAAGATGTTGTGTCCACCGAAAACTAAAAAATAAGTATTTAGTAAAAAAAAAAAGTTATAGATTTGGCCACATGTATGAGACATAAATAGACATTAGCTTGAACAAGGCACAAGTGTATTTCTCACTTGGTGAACAATTTAGAGGTCATCCTGGACCCCAGCGTCTTCTGGCTTCCTGCTCTGCCCTAGTCCAAGATGGCACCTTCCCATTCATTATTTCATGTCTGACAGCAGGATGAAAGGAACAGGGGCAGAGAGGACACTTCTTTCAGATCTTGTTGGCCAGAACTCAATCAAAAGACCCCCACCTAATTGTCAGGGGAACTGAGAAATGTAGACTGTATTCTGAGAGATATATAAAAAATGGAGGCTTCGTTGCCACAGATGAGTGGGGAGGAATGGATATATGTGACAACTAGGAGTGTCTTCTCTAGTTCTAAACAGATGGATTAATAGCAGTTTATTATATGCCGGACTCTGTGTTGAGTACCTTTTTCTATGTGGTGCTGGGGATTGAACCCAAGACCTGGTGCGTGCTAGTCAAGCGCTCAACCACTGGGCTAGACCCCCAGCTCATTGAGTATTTTTGTGTGTGTGGTCGTGGGGATTGAACCCAGAGCCTCCTGCATGTGAGGCAAGCGCTCTACCAACTCCATAGCCCCAGCCCCCACTGAGTATTTTTATAGGTATGCTCTCGTTGTCAGAACTATGATCATGGCCATTTTACACTGCTGGAGAAATTAATTCCCAGAGAGGTTGAGAGACCTGCTGAAGATACCCAGCTCTTAGGAGGAATGTAGGAGGGATGAATGTGATGTCCATAAGGCCCTGGGCATAAAGAAGGCACCCGGTAAATACCATCAAGAACGCTGATCATTCATAAGACCAAAGGGTATAAAAAGGAAATGAGTGGGGTGAGAACCAGAAGGTCCTGTGATCCATTCAGAATACACTCTTCAGCCTTAATCGGGTCCTATAATCCAATTTTAGCCATTTTAATAAGTCCTTCCTTTGACCCGCCCCAATTTAAAAATTAGCCAATCGCGTAGATCGTGGCCCGGAGATCCTCCTATCAGAGCCGGGGGCGGAGCCACGTCGGGGATAAAAGCAGGCGTCCGGGGCTGGGTTGCCGGACCTGGGTCTACAGTGCGCTCATCTGCAGGAGGGAAGTTTGCCTCTCCGAATTAAAAAAATAAAAAAAAATTTAAAAAAAGACGTTCAATCGAGGTCTTGACCGTTATCCTCTCATTTGACCCTCTGAACCCCAGACTGGCACTGTCCCCAGAGTCCCACTCCCAGCCGCCGCCGTCGTTCCCTGAAGAGACGGGAGACCAAGAGGAATGCAGGTGGGCGTGAAGGCGGAAGGCGGCCCTCTTTGACTCTCCAGCCTACGCGTGCCCACCAGGCTGGGAATAGAAACCTGCCGCGCTTAGCTGTTCCACGCAGGGAGGGACTTAGCTAGGTATGTGATGCGTACAGACTCGTAGAAGGGATGGAGCGGTGGAGTTGGAAGGGGGCTTGCTGGTACTTGGTGAAGGCTCGGGACACTGCGGCCGGTGGGTAGAAGATGAAACACGGAATCGTGACCATTGCAAACACACAACTGGCAGGACCCCCCCACAGCCCCCCATTAGCCACCACTGCTGCAGAAAAAAAAAAAAAATGGTTTGTGTTTCTCTCCTACATTCCAAATCTTACACAATGGCAACCGTGACTGGATCTGGCCGAGGATCCTAGCAGCAAGGGAGGCTGGGAAATGTAGTTTAGGAGATGTCTAGCCTCTGATATGGGAGTACCACGGCCAATATCTAGAAAAGCTGCCGTCCCCGAGGCCAGGGCATGGACGCCAAGATCTGAGCCTGGAGAAGCTTGGATTCTAGTCCCAGCTCTGTAACTTGGGAGCTGTGTGACCTTGAGCTAGTGAATTCACCTCTCTGAAGCTCAGCTTTCTCATTGGAACTCACCGCAAGGGCTCAGTATGAGGCTTCAGGGAGAAGAGGAGGGTGAGACATGGGGCTCAGCAGATGCCAGAGTCCTGCCTAAGAGGCAAGAGGTGCAGGGCAGCAAGGCCCGCGGGTCCCAGCTCCCTCAGAGCCGGCCCCACCCTCCTCTCCTGGACTTGCCCACAGTGGACAGCTTCACCACAGAGCTGGAGAGGCGCTGCTGCCAGGCCGGACTCCGGGAGAGCCCAGTGGGGCTGTCCTGCGAGAAGAGGGCCAGGCACGTCCGCCACGGGCCAGCCTGCGTGGCGGCATTCCGGCAGTGCTGTCAACTGTCAGACCCTGACTCGGGAGGCCCTGGAGGAGCAGCTGCTTCTAGGGACAAGGGAGGGGGTCACATCAGGATGCACAGGGTGGGGGCTTCACCCAAGGGTATGGGGTGCCGTGGGGCAGGGTGGTGGGTGCCATGGAGGATCTGGCGGGCCTCAGGCCAGACATGAAGGAGGTGCCCCTCCACATCCACCCCCTGCCCTGCAGCCGATGAAGACAATGACCTGGATGACCTCTTTGAGGACAACACACCTGTCCATACCTTGTTCCCCGAGAGTTGGCTCTAGAAGATGTTTACTTTACCAAAAAGTGAATCAGGGTAGGATCCCCCTGCCTCCTCTGGTCCCCAACCCCTCCCACCTCAGTGGATACCGATCATGAATGGTGACCCCAGAAGTGGCATTGAGCCTCAGGGTAAACCCAAGATAGAACCACCTGGATGGGTCAAAGATCCCAGAGGGGCACCGTGGTGCTCGCCTGTCATCCCAGTGGCTCGGGAGGCCGAGGCAGGAGGATTGGGAGTTCAAAGCTAGGCTCAGCATCTTAGCGAGGCCCTAGCAACTTAGTGAGACCCTGTCTCTAAATAAAAAAAGGGACTGGGGTGGCTCAGTGGTTAAGCACCCTTGGGTTCAATCCCCTGTACCCCCCCAAAATATCCCAGTGGGTCCCCAAAATAATGACCCACTAATGGGTGATCCAGTGACACCTAATAGTGTCCTAGCCCTGGACAGTGGCCCCCCAGCCCAGAGGCTCTGTCCCGGCAGCACGAGCTGAGTGACAGGTCCCCACTGCAGCATCTCCCATTACTCCATCAATGAGAATATGCGGGACTCCATCACCACCTGGCAGTTTGTGGCAGTCAGCTTCCAAGAAGGAAAAGGCGACTAGCAAGCCCAGAGCTGAGGGAGTGGGGACAGTGGCCCTACGCCAGCCCTGGGGCGCTGGCCTCTGCTTAAGCCTGACTCTCTGGCTCTTGTGGCCCTAGGTCTCTGCATCTCGGAGCCCTTCGAAGAGGTAGTTACAAAAACATTCTTTGTGGACCTAAAGTTGCCCTTGTCTGTGATCAAGAACGAGCAGGTGCAGATTCAAGCCATGCTGTACAATTTCAGAGATCGCCCTGTCAAGGTGACCCCTGAGCTCCCCGTCAGTACGCCTTCTAAACAGGGTGGGGGGCTGGGGATACAGCTCGGATGGTAGAGAGCTGGCCTGGCATGCACAAGGCATAGGTTCAATCCCCAGCACCACCACCAGAAAAAAAAAAAAGCAGAGGGAATCCATTATTCCATTGGGTCAGTGAAGGAGGGGCCCTTTTAGAAATAGTCTAAGATATTTTCTCATTTAAACCTCACAATAGCTCCACTCAGTGGGTAAAATGGTTGGTCTTGGCTTAGAGACAGAAACACAGAGAGGTTAAAAGACTTGCCTGGGTCACACAGCACGTAAGTGGCAGAGGGGGACCCAGGCAGTATGCTGTTCGTCATGGACTCAAGCATTTCAGGGCCGGGGCAGGGAGGAACCACAAGCCTCCCTGGCCACCTGGACCATGTCCCCGTACCTGCCCATCTTGCTGCAGGTCCGAGTGGAGTTCCCCTACAAGGAACCGCTGTATAGCTTGTCCAAGCCAGGAGCCCCACACCACCAGGTGGTGGTGGTGCCCCCCACTGCCTCCAAGATGGTGCCTTTGTACTTCTCCCTCTTGAGAGTGGCCAGGTAGATGTGGAGGTCAAGGCCAGGGCATGGATTTCCAGGACCACGTCAAGAAGACACTCTTGGTCCTGGTAATGGGCGTGCCAATGCCTTATTGTCAACACAGACAAGTGGGGACCCCGGGCTATGTGACCAAGGGAGGGCCAGGTGGGGCCCAGATGGGAGTGAGGTGGAAGAGAATGGGCCAAAGGTCAGTCAGTGGGCTCGAGGGGTCACAAAGCCGGGACAGGGCCTGGATTCAAATATCCTCTCTCCTGTGTGACCTTGCTTAACTTTTCTGAGCCTCCATTTTCTCATTTACAAGATTAAGATGATCATCATATCCACTGAGCAATCAGAGGGCTATAAAAACGACCCATGACCAATGTGTGGCCCATGGAGCTAAATTAAATTGCAAATAAGTTTTTAAAAATGTAAAGTTTTAAAAGAAGAAACAAATGATCCGCATTTAAGATATAAACACTTTAATGATATAAACTCAAAGAGCCCTCAGAACAAACTTTAGAGGCGAGGACTATTTTGTGTGTGGGATGGGGGGGATTGAACCCAGGGCTTAGTGCGTGCAAGGCAAGCACTCTACCAACTGAGCTATATCCCCAGCCTGAGGACTATTATTATCTCCTTTTCAGAAGAGAAAACTAAAGCACAGAAAGGTTAAGTAATTTGCTCATAGACACACAGCTAAGAAGTGGTTGAGCTTGGATTTGATGTTGGATTCGGATCTTGGATTCAGATGTTGTGTTCCAGAGTCCGTTCTCTTATTAGCTAAGCAGTGCTCCTCTCACTGTCATTGTGATTGTCATTATTACTGCTGTTGTGACAGTCATTTTTAACTGCCTTCCCCATCCTGCAGGCGGGAGATCAGATAGAACGAATGTTCCACATCCTTCTTGACCCCCAAGGTTTGCGGGGTGGGCAACAGGGCGTGTGGGGTCCTGGGGCCACACTAGGAGGAGAAGGGACTGAAAGGAGGGGGTCTGGTCAGGTGGGTAATCTGAGCCCCTGCCCAGCTCTGCATGCCTTGATGCCCCCAGTCCTGGAGCCCACGTGACACGAAGGTTGTGCCCCTGCAGGTCAGACCCAGACAGAGCTCTTGCCAAGACGGGACGTGCCCGACACGCAGGTGGAAGTGTTTGTCAGCGTCCAAGGTGGGGGGTGCAGGGAAGGGGCCTGGGCTGGGGTGACAGGGGCCACGGTGGCTTAGGCTACCCCTGAGGGGACCCCGCTCACCCCCTCCAGGTGACATCCTTGCCGAGACCATCCTGGGCAGCCTGACTCCCACGGAAGTACAGCAGCTGCTGAGGGTCCCCAGCGGCTGTCCTGAACAGACACTGAGCAAACTGGCGCCCGTGGTCCTCCTGATGGGCTACCTGGACACCACGGGACAGTGTTGCTCCGGGACCAGGTGATGAAGAACATCGTCACAGGTGAGAGAAGGCCCCTTGGGGGCCTTGGGAGGCTCTAGGGCTCTCTGGCAGGGTGGCTGGAGTACCTAGGATTAGGGGACACCCCCAGGACCCTCCGACAAGAACACCCAAGGCCTGGCTCCTGTCTCAGGTTACAACCAGACACCGGTTTCTCCAGGTGGACCCAGGTCCCCAGCAGTGACCCCTAAGTTATCTCTCACCTGCCCCCAGACTACATCCAACAACCCCCAAGGAAACCCCTAGGCGGGCTCGGGTTTCACCCGATGGCAGCACCCCCCAGACCCCCAGGCACAGCTTCCGAGTCCCCAAGGCAGGTCCCTCCCCCTGGGAGACTTTCACACAGATAAGACTGTACCCGAGGCCCTGTGGTCACAGCCCCCTGTACCCTGGGCCCTGAAGTCCTCTCCTGCACACGCCTGATGGGTCTCCTCCGCAGGACACATCTAAATGCCCGGTGGCCCACACGCCACCTCCCCACAGCCCTGCGCCGTGTCCCCCCAGGTTTCATCCAGATGCTCAGCCACCAGAGTAGAGACGGCACCTTCCATGTCATCAAGAGGAGGCCCACAGCTCCTGGCCCTGCTCGCCTGTGCCCCGTCACAGTGTGGGCAGCCTGGACACTCCTGGGACCCATCTCTCCCTCACCCACCCCACAAACGTGACCATTCCTGGCCTTCCTCCCCCAGGACCTGACTCCTCCCTGTCACCCAGGGAACACACCCATCCCCCCAGCCTTCCTCCCTACCAGCCTCCAGAAGTGGCTTTTGAACACAGTGTGGTGGGGCGCTCTCCTCCTCCAACACCTTCTATGGCTCACAGCTGCCCTCCTCTTCATCCCCTCTAAAGCCTCTCTTCCCATGATCCCTGCTCACCATTCACTCTTTGTTTTGGGGGGGGCAGTTACTGGGGATTGAACTCAGGGGCACTCAACCACTGAGCCACATCCCCAGCCCTATTTTGTATTTTATTAAGAGACAGGGTCTCACTGAGTTGCTTAGGGCTTTGAACTTGCCATCCTCCTGCCCCAGCCTCCTGAGCCGCTGGGATGTCAGAGATACGCCCCTGCACCCGGCCACTTGGCCATCTCTATAAACACCAGCTGTTGGATTTAGGGCCCCCATTAATCCGGTGTGAGCTCTCCGAGACTGCCTGCATCCACAAAGACCCTATTTTCAAATAAGATCACGTTCTGAGGCTCCAGATGAACATGAAACTTAGGGGACACTGTTCTGCTCAGGGGCCAGGGTGGCAGCTGTGGCTGCAGAGGGGTTGAATGCTGTGGGGCATTTCCTAGCAATGGGAAGGCTTCACCCCTCTGGCCCTCAGTGTCCTCCTCAGAAAAAATGGGGCTACCACGAGGATACTCTGATGTAACTCTGAGAGCCTCGCCTCCTGGGCTGTTGACGTCCCTCAGGGGGACAGACCCCGCCCGGGCGACCCTGAGAAGGCTCCTCCTCCCTCGCCCCGCCTCACCTCCAACAGCATCCAGGCCAGAGCTGGGCACCCAGGAGACCCCCAGAGTCTGGAAGGAAGGCTGGGGAGGGTGTCCCCAAGACGCTGAGGGAGTTGCACTGTCCTTCTGCCTCCACAGGGAGGCTACAAAGGCTCCGAAGCAGATGTATCCCTCAGGGCTCTTGTCCTGGTCGCCCTGAGGGAGGGGAAGGAGTTGTGCAGCCCGAGGGTGCCGGTAGGAAGCGGTGGGGGGGGGGGGCAGGTCTCCCCATCCCCGTCCCTGTCCCGCACACGGGGGGCTCCCGTCCTCCAGCCCCTCTGGACTCCTCTCTCCTGACTCCCAGACCTCTCTCCACTGACCTCCTTTCTCACCTCCTCCCTCCAAACCTCTAGAACTTGGACGGCAGCATCAGAAAAGCCTGTGGATTTCTGGAGACAAAACTGCCTCATGTCCTCACAACCTTCGCCATGGCCATAGCCTCCTATGCCCTGGCACTCGCCAAGAGCCGCCTGGACAGCTTCGCCAGCCGTGGTGGGCGCGGGGCACCTCATAGCCCACTGTGTGTTGCCCACAGTCACTGGGGTGGGGAGGGAGCATGAGGGTGAGTACAGCCATGTATGATGCATCATTTGGTATTTGCTGAGCACCTATTTTGCACCCATACTGGGACTCATATCCTAAGAGACCCAGGTGAACAAGATTGACATGGTCCCTGCCCTCCAGGGTCCCCCTGTCCCTGGGGGAGGCGAGCAAAAGACAAACACATCAATATATCATTACCCATTGAGACAAGTAGGGAGATGGGAACGTCTCCGCGGTGGGCGAGAGAGATGGCGGAGGGGAACAGACTGGAGGCTGGGGTGATTGACAGGAGCCACACCTGTGTGGAAGGCCAGGCGCCTCTGAAGCACCTGTGTGGCCAAAGGTGGGATGACGATCATAACATGTAGGTTATGGAGAGGGTGGCCTCCCTCGCCCTGTGCTGCCCCTAGGGTCCATTTCCCCACCTGCATTCCCCCAGTCGAGGAGAGTGGAGTTAGGAAACGCACCCACAGGGGCTGGGGAGCCACAGAGGAGCTACTCTGAACCTCGGCTTCCCCGCATCTACATAGTCAGAGTCCAGTTCCTAGGGTGACTCTGAAATGCCCACATGTCCTAACCAACGGTTGCCCATAAAGTAGGTGTTCAATAAAACAGCAGATTAGAAGAAGGGGGTCCAAGATGACACAAGGTGTGGGCAGGTCGAGGTGGGTGGGCCCAGGGTGGGTGACCAGGAGGGTGTCCTCCTTCTAGACAGAACCCACTGGCCGGTGGGCAGCCTGCCCCAGAACTCCCTGTACCCGGTGGAGGCCACGGCCTATGCGCTGATGCAGAAGCTGGAGCTGGGCCTGCACAATGACACGGACGCCATCAACAAGTGGCTGCTGGAGAAACGAGAGCTGGGAGGCGGCTTCGGGTCCACTCAGGTGACGGGCCTCGGGAGGCGCCAGGGCGCTAACCAGTGCTGCCCGACCCCGGAAGGAGCTGTCCGTGGTGCTGGCGCCCCGGGCCGGCGCTCGGCGCTGTCTGTGGTGCTGATCTGAGGTCCCCACCCCGCCTCGCAGACCACGGTGGTGACCCTGGAAGCCCTGACCCGCTTCAGCTTAGCTGTCCCCTTCGAGGGCATCCAGGATCTCCAGGTCCAGATCAGCACCCCCTGCAGGTCCCTGCACAAGCGGCGGCTCATTGACCAGAACCGCGCTCGCCCTGCGCTCCAGCACCTGCAGGTCCCGGGCGCGGAGGACCTGGAGATGAAAGCCAGCGGCCGCGGCAGAGGCACCATCTCGGTAGGTCTGGGACCCACACCTCGGCCACTCTGGCTGCCAAACAGGCGGAATGCACTTCGAATAATTCTGGAGGGGGGAGCCCGAGTCCGGGCACTGGAGATCTGGTGTCTGGCATGAGCCCTCCTCTGGTTGGTAATGGCAGCCCTTTGTGGGGCCCCTCTAACCCCTCCCGCTCCGCCCTCCTGACATGTCACCCACCCCCCACAGGCCCGTGTCCCCACACCGTGCTGTTGAGGATCAGGTGTCAAGAAGTGAACTGGGGGAGACACAAACATTCACGCCACAGGACCCCCCCTGGGGTCCCTAACTGGACAGAGCCCAAGTCCCCTCGTTGGTGGGGACAGGGGCAGGTCCAATGCTCCAAGGCAAGGCCCAAACCAGCAAGGATCCAGGCACCATCAAGGCACCAACATTTGCCAGGAACCAGCTGAGGACAACTCAAAGGCCCAGGGAAGGAGGTGAAGGTGGAGCTCCATTCAGCAGGTGGGGTGCCTCTCCTGGTGGCCTCAGTTGTCCCAAATTAAGGGCCACAGAAGTCAGAGGCTAGGGGCCCCTCTGTTCCTGCCATCCTGAGCCCCTCCTTCCTCCCCCCAGGAAAGCGTTTCCCTCTAGGTGGCCTCTCCAGGCCCAGAGGTGAACTCCACCCTCCCAAAATGGGAGCCAGTGATCCCAAGCTCTGGGCCCAGGAGGACGGGCCGGTTTCCCAGTTAGTAGGTGCCAGGAACAGAGTCACTGTTGAATTTCTGCCGTGGACAAACCACACCCTTCTTAAGCCTCAGTCAAACTTAAATTGACATGAGTTAAAATCAAACAAGATCAAAGCTTCGGTCCCTCCATGCTAATCCCCAGGTGGCTAGCCACTGCCATCTTTGGACAGGGACACAGAGACCATTTCTATCACCATAGAAAGTTCTATCACACAGTGTTCTGGCTGCTGAGCCTAGGAACCAAGGGGAAGGCCCTGAAGGGAGTTCCCTAGTGGCCAGAGGCCTGGAAACTCAGATGTTGGGACAAGGGGGAGAGGGAGCGTGGGTAGGCTCTGGAACCCCCTTTTCTGCCCCGGCAGATCCTGACCATGTACCACCGGTCTCCGGAATCCTGGGAGGACAGTTGCAACATGTACCATCTCAATGTGACACTCCAGAGTGCCCCAGAAGGTGAGCCTGGCCCCAGGGATTCCTGAGTCACTGGAATGACAGATGTGAGCCACCGCGCCTGGTCCCTTCTTCCTTATTATTTTAACTGTCATTCTTCAGGCATGTGTGTGGCTCAGTTCAGCCACTGGACAAACCTTGGTGAGCACTGACTGCTGCTAGACCATTTCTGGCCCTGGGAACAGAGGCGTGAGCAAGAAAAACATCCCTTCTTTTGGAAGCCACATTCTAGTAGGGAGTAGGGAGAGAGATAATCGCACACACACGTGCGTGCACACACACACACATATTTTATACCATTTTCTACTTTATGACACAAGTAAATGTATAAGAAAATAAATATATGGCATAATAGTAAGTGATGAAAAATGTCATACAAAATAAAGTAGGAAAAGATGACGTAGATTGTGGGGAGAAGAGGGAGGCTCTCGCAGGAGGTAGTATTTGAACTGAGACATGAAGAAATTGAGGGAGCGAGCCATGAAGGCCCCGAGGAAATGCCAGTGCAAAGGCCCTGAGGCAGGGATGGGCACACCTGTCTGAGAAGCAGCGAGATAGTGAGGCCCAGAGCAGACAGGGGCAGAGCTGCGGTGAAAGGGTGGGTGGGTAATAGGAGAGGTGCCTGGGGACTTGTGGGCCATGGTGAAGACTTCGGCTTTTGCTCTGAGTGAAGTGAGAGCCGTAGACAGTTCTGAGCAGAGGGGGGACATGACCTAGCGCAGGGTTCCAGAGCCTCACTCTCGGTGCTGCGTAGGAAGAGTCTCCAAGGGTGAGGGCGGGAGCTACGAGGCCAGGGAGACCACGGGGACCGATGGGGGTCGCAGCTGTGGAAATGATCAGAAAGAGTGGAACTGTACGGTTCCCAGCTGGGGTGCCAAGAGGGGAAGGAGAGCACCCCGCCACTGGGAGCTCCCTGAGAGGGAAGGAGGAGCCTCGCCAGGCCTAGGGACTTCAGGGACAATAAGTGGCCAGGCCTTTGGTTTTGGCCCTGTTTCTTCAGCAGCAGCATTGTCACCATCGTCACCATCATCACCATCATCCTCAAAGCTGAGAGCTGCAATGCACTGGCCAGGCCCCATACTAAGTGCTGTATTTATATTAACTCATTTATTCCTCAAATAACTTCTCAAGGTGGAATATTGTAATCTGACTGAGGGAACTGAAGCACAGAGAGGTTAAACTACATGCCCAAAGTCACACAGCCACAGCATCAGGATTTGAGTCCAGGACGCTGGCTTCAGAGGTTGTGAGCTTAACCACTGCGCAATCCAGCCTTCCAAACTCTCCTGCCTTCTCTTTGCAGAAAATAAAAAGGGGGAGGAGACTTCCAGCTCCGAATGGAAACAAGGTCAGAGCACCAGGATTCGGGGCTGGGCAGGAGGAGGGCCCACTCTGTAGAATCCAGATTCCTGTGCCCTAAATGGGGTGGGAACCGCTGAGCCTGCTCTCCACACCTCTCCTCATCCCACCCCACTCCTGCCCTCCCCTTTGCCACCATCCTGTGTGTCCACGTGGCCCAGGATGCCACCTGTAGTGCACCAATGAGCTCCAGATGCCCAGAGCTGACTCCGCCCCATGGCCCTCCCCCCAGGTCTTATTTTCTCCAGACACCCACCCCTCACCCCAGTCCTGCTGTCACCCAGACTCTCTTGGCCAGGTCTTCCCCAGATACAAACGTGCTGAGTACCTACTGTGTGCCAGCCTCTGTCCTAGGATCTAGGGGGCCAGCTCTGGACAGGGCAGACCCTCCCTGCCTCGGTGGTGCTCACAGCCTATCAGAGGACTCGGATGGTGAGCAAATGATCACTGGGAATCCGTATAAAATGACAACCCTGAGTAAATGTGGCAAAAGAGACGGACGAGGGTTCCCAAACACCAGCTGAGACAGAGAAGATGACGAGAGAAGAGCAGGAGTTCCAGGCCGAGGGACCAGCACGTGCAAAGGCCCTGGGGTCAAGAGAGGGGCTGAGGCTTAGAGCCTTCTTATGGAGCTGGAGGGAAGAGGTAGAGCAGGGAAGGGCGCAGAGCCCCAGAGGACATCTGGAGGCAATGACACTTCAGATTTCTGCTTCTAACTTCCCACTACGGGCAGAGTGGAGCTGGGGAAACTCAGGAGGCTCCTGCACTACTACAGGCAAGACATGCCAGTGGGGAGCATGGGGACAGAGGCAGAGGACAGCTGGAAGAGCCGAGGGCTGTGAAATCCGCAGGTTCCAGGGCAACCGGGTGGCCACCATGACCATCATGGAGATCTCAATGCTCACCGGCTTCTACCCCAACTAGGATGACCTCAAACAGGTGAGGCAGACCCCACCCACCCCACCCTCACTCCCCTCGCCTGAAGCTGCGCCTCCCAGTGCTGAGGCTCAGGCCAGGGCCCCCTCCGTGGTCAGATCACTGCTGCACGCCGTCCTGGACGCCTTGGCCACATCCTTGCCATCCCTGCGCCTCTGGCTGTCCCACAGGGTGGGGGGGGGGGAATCAGAGAAGGCCAGGAGCTGGGAGCTGGCACTGCAGCTCCTAGGGCTGGGTCTGGGGGACTCTGCTGACCCCCGCTGCCACCCTCTGACCCAGCTCACCAGCGACGTGGAGATGTATGCGTTCCAGTATGAGACCAAGGCCAGTACCAGTAACAGCTCAGTCGTTCTCTACCTGGAAAAGGTGAGGCCGAAGATAGCGACCCCACAGGGACACTCCTGGCTGGGGTCTGCAGAGAGCCACTCCCTCTGGTCCGGTTGCCTGTAGTCAAGGCCACGTGGTTAGTGGCTATGGGCAATCGTCGGCACCACGAGGTCAGTGCCCGTGGTCACTCAGCTGGACTCTCCCCACCTGCCCCCACCTCCCGCCACCTGCACAGCTCTCCCACAGGGAAGGCCCGGTGCTGGGCTTCCGGGTGCACAGGATGCTGCAGACCGACCTCCTGCAGGCCGCGCTGGCCTGGGCGGAGAGGCCCGCAGGGGACAGAGCCAGGGGTTGGGAGGGCGGCCTGGGCGGCCATGGGGCGTGGCCTTCTCGGGCAGGCCTAAGTGGGCGGGGCCTGCGAGAGGTTGGCGGGGCAGGGCCGGCAGGGGGCGGGCCGGGAAGAGGTCAGGAAAGGCCTGGAGGGGGGTCGAGGGGGCGGGGATGAGGGGCGGGGCCCGGCGAGCGCCCCGCCCCCAGGGGACCCGCCCGAGCCCACCCGGCCCTGCCGCCCGCAGCCCAGAGGTGCAGCGCCTTCTACCACCTGCCCTCCCAGCCGGCGTCCCTGCGAAGGATCTGCCACCAAGACGTCTGCAGATGTGCCGAAGGTGCGCTGGGCCGCGGGGTGTCGCACACAAGCAGGTAAAGGCCCAAGAGCACGGGACAGGCAGAGGCCAGAGGAGACTCGGGGCCCGCCAGGCGTGGCCACAGCCCTGGTCCCCTCCCAGCCCTGGGGGTGGGGGGAGTAAATGTGGCAAAGAAAAACGACAAAAAGAAAGAAAGATGGACAGAGAGGGACGGAAAGAAGGAAGGAGGAGGAGGACCGATGGGGAGGCCCTGCGGCTCCCGAAGCCCAGACCCAGAGCAGCCGGCCCGGCCTTCCAGAGCAGTGCCCGGCCGCGAGGAAGGACGGAGGGAGGCTGAGGCAGGAGGAGCTCCAGGCGGCCGCGTGCGAGGCGGGCGTGGACTTCGGTAAGGTGAGGCCACCGCAGTCGGGTGACAGCGGGCTGGAAGCCAGAGGCGACGCCATGCCCTCGCCCTGCCTTCCTCAGTGTATAAGGCCAAGCTGGAGGCCCTGGAGGCCGCTGGGTCTACTACCACGTGCAGCTGCAGGCCATCATCAAGAGCGGTGAGGCTGGCCGGGGCCCAGGACTGGCCAAGCGTGGGGGAGGCCCTGGGCGCCATCCCCAGCCCTGGGGGATGGGGGGCAGTGGATGTCCCAGGTGTCGGGAAGGGGGAAGGGGCATATGGCCCTCTCTGGGTCCCAGCCCGGGGGAGGGCCTGGTCTGCACATGCGCTCACACCAGGTCTCTTCCAGGCACGGACCCTGCTATGCCCCTCAGCGTGAAGAAATCTGTCACCCAGGCCACCTGCTGTGACTCCTTGGGGTTGCGAGAACAGGAGTCTTACCTCATCATGGGCCTGACATCAGACCTGTGGAGAGTCAAGTCTGAGTGCGTGGAGACTGTTGGTGCCCCAGGGAATCAGGCCGAGATGCCCCCCGCCCACTCCAGCCAGCCCTTGGTTTCACCATTTCTGCTGGACCTGTCAGCAGGAGGTCTGGGACAGGAGGGCCACCCTGAACGTAGTGCAGGTCGTGCACTGAGCGATTTCAGGGAAGCTCTTTCACAAGAGGAGCGGTGTTCGTGATCTCTGTTTCCACGGGAGGGCAGAGAAGGGCCAGAGGGCCGGGCACTGTGTGTCCTTGTTTTCCTAATCCTCAGTCATGTGGGAAAAGGCTGGAGATCCAGAGCTGAGACCCTTGAAGGCTGCCAGTCATGGCAGAAGGAAAAGGGGGGGAGGTCCCCAACCCCCAGGGACATCAGACTCTCCTCACCGGTCTTGCTGTCCCCCGACAGATACAGCTACCCGCTGGGCAAAAAGACGTTCCTCATGCTTTGGCCAAGCGACAGGGACAGGGGCAAGAAGGACTTGCTGGCACAGCTGGAGGGGTTCTCAGAACACCTGAGCACCCACGGCTGTGAATCCTGAGACCCAAAGGCCTCTGCTGCTCTCGGGAAGGTGTCTCTAAGAAACTTTGGGTCACAGGGCTCAGCCCCAAATAAAGAGCACCAAGTTCGGTATTCAGACGGCAGACGTGTGTCCTGTTCCCGCCAGGGCGTGGCCCTGCCCCCCACCTCTTTCCCACCTCATCCTGACCACAGGACTTTGTATTTATTATCTCCCCCCCATTTTTTAAAAATATTTTTTAGACATTTACTTATTTATTTATTTTAGGTGTAGATGGACACAACACAATGCCTTTATTTTTATGTGGTACTGAGGATCGAACCCGGGTTCCGTCCGTGCTAGGCGAGCTACCACTGAGCCACAACCCCACCCTCATTTGCCCATTTTTCATTGCGCTATTTGATCTTTGGTGTGATGCTGTTTTGAGTTCCTTATGCAGTCTAGATGTCAACCCTCTGTGAGAAGAGCAGCTAGCGAAGACCCTCTGCCATCCTGGGACTCTTCACCTTTCCGTCTCCTTTGCTGTGCTGTACTTATTACTTTTTAATGATATGTGAAAACATTCCAGCAAAAACCAATCCTCAAAAGGTAAACCTAGGGGCTGGGGATGTAGTCAGTTGGTAGAGTGCCTGCCTGGCATGCACAAGGCCCTGGGTTCCATCCCCAGCACCACAAAGGGAATCTTTCCCACCCTGCTCCCGCACCCAGGAACTAGAACTTGCATCCCTCGTCCCTCATGTTTTGGGATATCCAGTGACCACAGACAAAGATGAAATTTACCTTTTATTTCCCTGTACACACAAGGGCTTCCTCTTTGGAGGTCACACTTTTTTTGTTTTTGTACCAGTATTGAACCCGGGGGTGCTTAGTCACCAAGCCACATCTGCAGCCCTTTTTTGTATTTTTATTTAGAGATGGGGTCTCGCTAAAGTTGCCTAGGGCCTCCCTAAATTGCTGAGGCTGGCTTTGAACTTGCCATCCTCCTGCCTCAGCCTCCGAGCCACTGGGATTACAGGCGTGTGCCACACCTGGTGACGCCTGGCTAGGTCAGTCTTAACATTTAGGTTTTGTTTTTGTTTTTTTTAAGAACAAGCCTGATTTATTTGTTCCATAAGAAAAGGGCAGGGAGGGCTGGGGTGTATACAGCTCAGTGGTGGAGCACGTGCCCAGCTTGTGTGAGACCCGGCACCACAACAAAAGAGAAAGAAAGGCCAGGATGGTCCATGTAGGGGGAAGGGATAATACTGGATAATATATGAGATGTAAAATACGAAGAGGTGACGCCCCGGCCATCGCGGTCCTAGAGCCCCGAGTATTCTGTTGAGCCGCCCCACACTGTTCCAGCTCTCCTCCTCGGAGCCTTTCACCCTTGGTCTTCCTTGGGAATGTGGGTTCAACAGTGAACTCTACTTCCAGATGCAAAGGCAAGGCCACCAGGCCTGGGATGGTGTGAAGGATGTTTCCCCTCATGCCACACCTTAGAAAAAGCAGTGCAAGGGCTGGCGATGGGGGCTGGGGATGTGGCTCAAGCGGTAGTGCGCTCGCCTGGCATGCGTGCGGCCTGGGTTCCATCCTCAGCACCACATACAAACACCGAAAACCGAAAAAATAAATATTAAAAAATATTCTCTCTCTCTTAAAAAAAAAAGAGAGAGAGAGAGAGAGACATTTAAAAGGGGGGGAGGGCTGGGATTATAAAAAAAAGGCTAGGGTAAATGGGACAATGACCCCTGAGCCAGAACATACCAAGGCCAGGACACACAGACAGCCCCACAGACAGCCCGGTACTGGGTGGACTGTGATCGATGGTGTTTTAGACGCTGCCCACCTAACTCATCTGAGCAGACAACAGTTTGCTCAACTTCTGCACAAAAGGCATTCCTAGAAAAGTGTGGGGAGGCTGGTCCCCAGAATTCAACCAAAGACCTCTATGCTGTAAAGGACACTCCACTGATTCTGTGCTCTGGGGGCATTCTACGCAATGAGGACAGCACAAATTATAAAATCCCAAATTTCTACTCACATCCTACATTTTATCATCAGAACTGTATTTCCAGGGCTACTTTTTTAAATAATTAGATTTATCTCATTTTTAATTTGTTTAAATTAGTTATACATGACAGTAGAATGCATCTATGCACTTTGATATATCATACCTAGATGGGGTATAATTTGTTTTCTGAGTGTACATGTTGCAGAATCACATTGGTCACGCAGTCACATATATACATACAGTAATAATGTCTGTTTCATTCTGCTGTCTTTCCTATCCCCACATTCTTTCCCCTCCCCTCCCTTCACTTCCCTCTACCTAATCTAAGGTGACACTATTCTTCCCTAGTGCCCCTCACCTTATTGTGAATTAGCATCCCCATATTAGAGAAAACATTCGGCCTTTGGTTTTGTGGGATTGGCTTATTTTGCTTAGCATGACATTCTCCAACTCCAACCATTTACTAGCAAATGCCATAATTTCTATGCTGTAAAGGACATTCCACTGATTTCTGTGCTCTGGGGACATTCTATGTACTGATGACAGCACAAATTGTAAAATCCCAAATTACTCCTCACCTCTTATGTGTCATCATCAGAACTATATTTCCAGGGCTACTTTTTAAAATAATTGGATTCATCTCATTGGGTATTTTTTAAATTTTAAATACTACTCAGCAAAGTAGTATTTTGTTGAGTATATATACCACATTTTCTTTATCCATTCATTGTTAAAAGCCACCTAGGTTGGTTCCAAAGTTTAGCTATTGTGAATTGAGCTGCTATAAACATTGATGTGGCTGCATTACTGTAGTATGCTGATTTTAAGTCCTTTGGGTATAAACCAAGGAGTGGGATAACTGGGTCAAATGGTGGTGCTGTTCCAAGTTGTTCTGAGGAATCTCCATACTGCTTTCCATATTGGGTGCACCAATTTTCAGTCCCACCAGCAATGTATGAGTGTGCCTTTTTCCCCACATCCTCGCCAACATTTATTGTTACCTTTATTCTTTTTTTAAATATTTTTTTAGTTATACATGGGCACAATATCTTTATTTTGTTTATTTATTTTTATGTGGTGCTGAGGATCGAACCCAGGGTCTCACATGTGACAGGTGAGTGCTCTACCGCTGAGCCACCAACCCCAGCCCCTGTTACCTGTATTCTTGATGATTGCCATTGTTACAGGAGTGAGATGAAATCTTATAGTAGTTTTGATTTGCACTTCTCTAATTGCTAGAGATGTTGAACATGTTTTCATATATTT